CCAAGCGCAACGCCGCTCCCCCCTCGCTGCCGCTGTCGCCCGCGTCGGACGCGCCGCTGGTCGGGCTGGCGTTTAAGCTCGAGGAGGGCAAGTACGGCCAGCTGACCTACATGCGCGTCTACCAGGGCACGCTGCGCCGCGGCAACCTCATCTTCAACGCGCGCACGGGCAAAAAGGTCAAGGTGCCGCGCCTGGTGCGCATGCACTCGAACGACATGGAGGACGTCGACGAGATCGGGGCGGGCGAGATCTGCGCCATGTTTGGCGTCGAGTGCTCGTCGGGCGACACCTTCACCGACGGCACGACGCAGCTGAGCATGACGTCGATGTTTGTGCCCGAGCCCGTCATCTCGCTCGCCATCACGCCCGAGGGCAAGGAGTCGTCGCAGAACTTTTCGCGCGCCCTCAACCGCTTCCAGAAGGAGGACCCGACGTTCCGGGTGCACGTCGACAAGGAGTCAAACGAGACCATCATCTCGGGCATGGGCGAGCTCCACCTCGAGATCTACGTCGAGCGGATGCGGCGCGAGTACAACGTGCCGTGCACGACGGGCAAGCCGCGCGTCGCCTTCCGCGAGACGATCACGCAGCCGGCCAAGTTTGCCTACACGCACAAGAAGCAGACGGGCGGCGCGGGCCAGTTTGGCCGCGTCATGGGCTACATTGAGCCGATGGAGGTGGATCCGGAGACGGGCTCGGACGTGGCGTTCGACAACCGCGTCGTCGGCGGCTCGATCCCCAACGGCTACTTCCCGGCGTGCGAAAAGGGCTTCCACGACGCGCTCGAAAAGGGCGCGCTGTCGGGCCACCAGGTGACGGGCGTGCGCTTCGTGCTCGAGGACGGCGCGGCGCACTCGGTCGACTCGTCGGAGCTGGCCTTCCGCCTGGCGACGGCGGGCGCGTTCCGCGAGGCGTACGCCAAGGCGGCGCCCGTCATCCTCGAGCCCAAGATGACGGTCGAGGTGGTGGCGCCCACCGAGTTCCAGGGCGCCGTGATTGGCGCGCTCAACCAGCGCAAGGGCACCATCAGCGACACCGAGGTGCGCGAGGACGAATTCACCCTGACGGCCGAGGTGTCGCTCAACGACATGTTTGGCTACTCGTCGCAGCTGCGCGGCCTCACCCAGGGCAAGGGCGAGTTCAGCATGGAGTACAAGTGCCACGTCCCCGTCATGATGAACGTGCAGAAGGAGATGAACGAGGCATACAAGAAGAGGAGCAAGTAGCACGTAGATTGATCGCCGCGCGCCACAACGCATATAGACGCACCCAGTTGCACCACATCCCCACTCTTTCCGGCCCTCTGCTCTGCTCTGGTCTGGTCTGCTCTGCTCTGCTCTGGTCTGGTCTGGTCTGACTCGTGCGAGCCCCTGCCAGCGTGTCACTGCTGTGCGTGCGCTCTAGGGGGGGATATGACACAAATGACGGTGGCAAAGGGCCGAGCGACGGGGGATCCGCGAGACGAGAGCGAATTCCGGCGGACGAGAAAGGAAGCCGTGCGACGAGGCGAGCAGGTGCCTACCCTGGTCATGGGTGACGGAGCAGGCTCCATGCCATCGAGGCACCAGAATGGTGTCAAGACGAATCTGCTGCAGCGGGCCGGGGGGCGGGGGCGGGGACGGGAAGGGGGACGACAATGGGGGCGATGATTCGACGCCAAACGCTCCGCCTCGACGCCTCTCCTCTCCATCACGCGGACTCCACACGCCAAGGGGCTGACAGTAAGTCAATCTTATCAGAGCAAGCGACGCCCATTCGGCCGTGGTCTGTGACGATACAACGGCTCGTCTGCGGGTAACGTCGAGATGCCGGGAGGAGGGGAAGCGATGCTGGTGTCGCAGCCATGACCGGTCGGATCTCTTCTCATTTCGCCGGAGGATAGCACGGCGTACGGTACTGTAGGTGTCTGTGCTTTGGTCGGGGATCGTCGCCCGTCTCCCGGGAACGTACGTTTGTCGCTCAACGGCAAGACAGGCAACCAGGCAGGCATACGGTCTAATCGAATCGAATCGGATCGGGTTGGAGGGCAGTCAGGGGGGTCCCCTCTGGCTGAGAGAGACAGGGACGGGGCGACCCCTTGCCTGCCTGCCTGCCTGCTGGCCTGCAGCGCGGCTCTGGCTACGGCTGCGGCAGCGGCTGCCTAGCCTGCCAATTTGATGCGTGTGCACGGTTCGTCTTGCTCGGCATGGAACGATATGAAGAAGCAAGAAGCGGCCAGTGGTGGTGATTGAAGCGGCATGCCGGTCTGTGCTCCAGTTGCGCCAGAGTGGACACTAAGCGGGGCAGGCGGGCGGGCTTGGACTGAGCCCAGCGTTATGCGGGGATGCAGGTACGGCCTAGGGCCTCCTGACTTTCCAGTACAGAGTACCTCGACCCACCTCGCGGCTCCTCTCTGGTTCTGTCGGTGCAAGAGGATGCGATGCGATGCGATGCGATGCTACGGTAGCCAACAGCGCGGGACGGCTTCTGTCGTTCAGTGGTCAAAGCTGGTGGGTTTTACCCGGCCAGGCCAGTCTCTTTTGCTGACTGGCTAAGCCACGCCACGCCGCGGAGTGCCGGTGCCGGCTGACGGCGTCTAGGCTGTCGAATTGGGCCGGGCTTCGGCTAGGCTTTGCTCTGCTGCGACCCGTTACCCCTGACTGCGCCCTACCCCCCCACCGCCACGATGGACCACGCCGACTGAGCGTTCCTTGCTTGCTTCCCTGCCAGCCTGCCTGCCCGCCTGCCGTATCTGATTGCTGCGCCCTCGCACCCCGTGCGCCCTTAGCTTGTCCTTGTCCTTGTCCTTGCTTGCTTGCACGCTTGCTTGCACGCTTGCATCGGCCGTCGTCTGTCCCCAGCAAGGCCGCACAGCCAAGGCAAGAACAGGCACACACGCGCACCAACCCCCTTGATCTACTTCTCCTGCCTCCCGCCTCCCGCCTCCTGCCTTGCCGCTCCTCGCTCCCAGGGCCGAACATCTGCGTACGCCACACGAACTGACCGGCCCGATCGACATCCCAGCCATGCGGCGCGGTGCGGTACCAAGCACTGGCCCAGCCACCGGGCACACACGCTTCGCTTCGCCGCGCTGCCCTGCTGAGCTCCCCCAAGGCTGAGGCAGCCTTCGCTAGCGCCGTACCTTGCTTGGCCCTCTTCATCTACGCACCTCGTACAGCATGCCCCGTCGCACACGAACCTTCTGACCTCACCGGCATCCATTCACACTCTCGCGCTGCGCTGCGCCGCTCATCGACGGCGCTAGAGCCCTTCGCTCGTTCCTTCTGGCCACCTTAAGCAGGACGGCCGTGCACAAAGAGCCAGCAGACATACAAGAGCAAGGCAGCGCCGCTCAAACCCTGGCCTCTACTGTATCCAGCCTATCTCTCGACTATGAGTGAGCTGGGACCTGCTACTGTACCTCGCCCCCTTGCCGATCAGGTCTCACTCCTGCCAGTGGCATACGAAAGAGAAGATACTACTCTGGAGCGGGCAAATGGCGCGACGCAGGTACCGACCCCCCAACCGTCCTTGCTCCGGTCCATGGAACCCCCTCGCCTCGCTTCGCTTCGCCGCACAGAAGCTCCCGACGTACCCCTGTACCGCTACCGTACCGCCACGCCGGGTGGCGATCCTGCCTGCTCTGATACGCCCATGACCCTTGCACCGCTCCCAGGCCCCCTCGCCCTGCCCTGCCGGTCAGCGCCTCGCCCTCGACCCGCCATGTCCGCGGGGGAGGGACTACACACCACCACCTCGGCACCCGACCGCCCTCGAAGCTACCCTCCCGTACCGTGGCAGGCCCATGATCTTCCATCGCAGCCGGCATCGTCTAGGTGCAGACGAGGGTGCGAAGCGAAGGACACGGCGAGGTTCTGACTGCAGCCCCTTCGTCCTTCTGCCCTCGCCCCCTTGCCGTGATCACCTTGTTCCCTCGTCGATCCTCCGCAGGAGTCGGATCGATGATCACACGGGGATGTGCAAGGAACAGTGGCCGGGATCAGCCTGATCTCGCTGCCGCGCACCTCCCCCGTATCGAGGCAACAGGGAGCGAGGACCGAGATGACCAACGAAACCGCCACCTGGCCGTATATAACCCTGGCCACGCTCTCGCCATACCCTCCCATCCTTCATCCTCACTGACCCCTTCATCCCAGCAAAGCATCCTCCGGCGACCTCTTTCCCCCCTCTCTTCTCCACCCTCCTCCCCTCTCCTCGGACACCGTCTCGAAACCCACGCTCTTTGACCGTCACCGACGCACCACCCTCGCTTGCTATACCTTGCCCTCTCTCTGCCTCTCCATCTCCCCTCTCGGACCTCGTCGCGCCATCTCGCAACTTCTCCCTCTCCCCAACTACCTTCGCCCAAGATGCAGATGCGTATCAACCGGATCGTCGCCTCGCTCGGCGTCCTCGTCACGGTCGCCATCATGACCGCCTCGAGCTCCGTCTCGGCCGATGTCGTCCAGATCCGCGAGGACTCGGTCTTTGCCCGCAACTACGAGCGCGTGAGTTGCCGCCCCCTCCATCTCTCGACCGCGTCGTGTCGTCGTTCGGGTCGTGCCACACGCGGAGGCCGAGCACGATACTGACACCTTCCACTCGACCTGTCCACCGCTGCTCGCATCTTCGCGACGCTGTCGCACAGGCTGTCGCGGCCGACTTTGACCACACGCCGCGCTTCGAAAAGCGCCGCCCGCACAAGCGCCACAACAAGAGCACGCCCGTCGAGGACAAGTGCGGCCGCCCCACGCCCACCAAGAAACCCGCTCACAAGGGACACCACCACGGTCACCACGGCCACGGCGGCAAGGGTGGCAACAACAACAACAACAGCAGCAACAACGACGACGACGACGACGACTACAGCGAGAACCACTCGAGCTGGAACTCGGAGTCGCACTCTTCGGCGTCGGCTGCGTCGGCGTCGAGCTCGGCGTCGGCCGCCCAGGCTTCGCAGAGCTCGAGCAGCCACTCGAGCTCGAGCAACACGAACAACACCGACGGAAAGGGCGGCAAGGGCGGCAGCAGCAGCAGCAACAGCAGCTCGTCGGACCACTCGTCGAGCAGCTCGTCGAACTCGAGCTCGAGCAGCTCGTCGTCCTCGAGCAGCAGCTCTACATCGAGCTCCAGCTCCAGCGGATCCTCGTCGTCGTCGTCGTCCGGAGGCAGCCACCACGGCGGCAGCGGCAACGGCGGCAACGGCGGTGGCGACTCGTCTTCGGGCAAGCCCTCTTCCAACGGCACCTGCCCGCGTGGCTGGTCGCCCGCGCGCAACGGCGACACGCTCGTGTCGAACAAGAACTCGCTGCTGGACCTGAGCGACCTCTCGATCAACCTCAGCATCCTCTCGGCCAACGGCGACGCCAAGCAGGAGACGCACAAGGCGACGGCCAAGCCCAAGTGCAAGGGCAACGCCTGCTGCTACCAGGTCGTCAAGAGCGGCACCACGACCGTCATCAACGACAACTCGCTCATCAACCTCAAGGGCGCCAGCATCGACGTGTGCATCCTCGGCATCTGCCTCTGAGGTCCCCCCTTCGCCCAGGTCGTTCCGATACAGGCTCTGGCTGGTTGGTTCAGGTGGACCGGGTCGAGGGTCGAGGGGTCTAGGGACGATTCTTCTCGTTCGTCGCCGACCTCTTGTCTGCCCGACGCGCCCACCTCCCCCACGATACCGCCTCGTCCCATCACGCGACCGATACCACTTCGCCCGCCCTCGTTGCTTCTGTTGCTCTCGCTCGTTTGCCGTCGTTACCCCGTGCTGTCACCCCCGTGTGGAATGCCCTGCCTATCCTACCCCGCTCTGCTTGCTCTGCCATTGCCTCACATTGGCCCCCATCGCCTTGCTATCAGGGGCGTAATTCAATTCGACTGCTGTAAAGGGACATTCGCATTGCTTGCTTCGTATGACTCTCCCGAGTGAGCTGCTCGTCGCCGCCTGACACCTCATCTGCCGTAAGCCGAAGGTACACGGCAACCTCCTCGTGTCGCGCCCCCACCTTTGTCATGGGAGGGGGAGATCTCGACCGGCACGATGGCACGACCTCCCTACCTAACCAGCAACTCGAATAAGCGGCCTACCTTCCTACGTAGGCTTGAATGAACGACCCACCTTTTCTCGCAACCCGAACCCACCCGCTTCTCCCGCAACGATACACGCCCACGCCATCGGCCGGTCGAGCGCCTTCCGGCTGGTGGGGCGCCAGTTGCTCGTCTCATCCTCGGAACGACGCTGCCGACACTTTGTCTGCCCCTGTTCGCCCGCTGGATCGGCATGGCATCCGTGTCAGAGTGTCAGGCTTCGGGAGGGAACAAGAACAGGATAAAGAGGGAAGAGGGCGAGGGGGAAGCATGGCCCCGTCTCCCATACCACCAACCCCTCCCCATCTTGCAACTTGCAAGACCAGCTCGTTGGTCTCGATACATCCCCTCTAGCCACTCGTCCGGTGAGCTTCTACGCGTCGTGATGGCAGATATCCCTGCGCTGCCGCAACGCTCGCTGACATATTCCCCCTCTCCCAACCACCATCCTCCTCCCCCTCCCCCCATCGTTCACCCCTGCCGGCTCATGCGGTACTACCGTCCCTCCCTGCTTCTGCCCGCCGGAGGCGATGATGCAGACACGCAGAACGACGATGAAGCTCTCCACAGTCCTGGCGCTCGTGGCCGCCTCGATTCCCCTCGCCATGGCCAAAGCCCCCTCGCAGGACCACTGGTACATATACGACGACCCAGGCCACACGTACATGAGGGACTGCTGGTCCTCGCCCGACTATCGAGGCCTCTGGCTCGGCCCAGCGGCCAGATGCCTGCCATCGGGATACTGTCCAGAGATGGGCTACGGCGCCTTTTACCAGACCTGCGAGCAAATTGGCTCCCTCACACCGCCCAACGACAATTAACGAGGGTCAGGGCGGGCGTTGGGGGGTCTCGATTACATTCTCGTGGCCGCAAGGGCGCACAGCGGCGATGTCATGGACGCTCGAGGGGCCTGGACCCCCACTTGGCCTGCGTGAGGAGGTGGGAACAAGGGCTGCATCCGGGCTTGCTTGCTCGACTCGTCGTTTTCCGAAGGGGTCACGACTTCTCTCGTGGGGGTTGTCGGCATGTATGTATGGTCAGCGCTCGAACATTGCCTTCCTGTACACCAGGATCCAAGTCGACTGCTGTAAAGAGCTTCACTTCGATTGCTTCGAATCGGTCGCTGCGCCGCGCGACACCGGCTCCAGCTTACGCTTCGCCTGATCCTAGCCGCCGCCGATGCGCGTCTCGCTCTGGATCCACGCAAGAGATCTCCCAAATATGTAAGGATCTCAGCCGTCGGGACAGTGCGACCGGTGGTGGGATTGGCAACTGCGGCCACGTGGCGCACAGCCTTGGTCATGGCCGAATCGGAGGGGTCACTCGGACAGGAGTCGAACGGGACCAAAGAAACGGGATCCGACGGTGCTCTCGAGCTACAGTCGTCGTTTGGCCGCAGTCTCATTTCGGCATGTGGGGGTTCGTCGGACATCTCTTCCGAAGCTCCTGGTCAGTACGTGCTCGCACCTTTGTCCTTGCTGTGGTCGGTCGATAGGGTGGGGGGGAAGGAAGGATCAAAAGGACGGAGGAGGACACTCACCGAAGCCGCTAGCACCCACCTGCGCGTCTCCCTTCCTACCAGCACCACCCAAACCCTCGCACCGTATGTATACTGCCTGCGTGTCTACGCCTGCCTTTCCTCGTCGAACAACGGCATGTCGACACGTCCTGACACCCTTTTCCTGGACCGCTTCAGTCCCCCTCCTCGACAGCCATCATGAAGCTCGCCGTAGCCTTGGCCTGTTCGATGGCCCTGATGGCGCACAGTGCCACGGCAGCCGCCACGGCCGACCAGGAAGTCTGGCTCACGTTGGACCACGGACAGTGGTGGTACTGCGGAGTCAACCGCGCCTACCGAGGCCTGTTCCTGGGCGCGGCGGCGAGGTGCAAGCCGACCAACATCTGCGATATGAGCTCTGACGCTTTGGAATTGCTGTGCGATGAGCTTCACGGCGGATTTGGGCCCGTCGACCAGTGATGGAGCGACCTCGGGCGCAGATGGAGACCAGGCACCTGCTACGGTTCAGGTCTGGATATGATGCTTACGTCGTACGAACTGGAGCCGCAGCTGGTCCACGCCTTGGCCCAGGAGATCAACGTGTAACGCCACAGTTTCGGCCCGCTGAAACCCTGCGACAGCGCTTCAATGGCGCCCCCCGTGACGTGTACGGCGCGCCTGTGCCTGTGCCCATCCATTCTCGAGACGTCCTTGTCGTTCGAGGCCCTCGCCGTGCTGCGCTGCCACGCTGGACCCGGGCTTGCTCGACTACTGCTTCTGTCTTTGGGCACGTGCTGGACCCTCGGACGTCTCTTCCAAGCCACTGTTGAGTGCTCGCACCTTTAGCCTTGCTGTGGTCGGTCGGTCGGATGGGGACGCCAAGGGATCAAAAGGGCGAGGTGGAACTCGCACGCCTCTCACCGTGACCGCTAGCACCGACCTGCGCGTTTGCCTTCCTACCTGCACCGCCCAAACCCTGGCTGAGGCTGTACCCTCCATGCCTGCCATCGCCTCGACACGTCTTCTTTCCCTCGAGCCAGCCAAAGGCCACCTTCGCACATGGCATGGCATAGCAACGCCAGGGAAACCAGGAAGCCGAGGTAGAGCGCCGACCTCGACTGCGGCAGCCACCGTTCCGTTGCTCTTTGTTACCGGACGCAGCACCAGGACGCTGTGCAGGGTCGACCGGCCGAGGTCCGGCAGAGGCACGGCCGCTACGACTCGTTCCTCGTCTGGGCCTTTGCGAGCACAGTGGCTAGACGACGATGCTCGACCAGGAGCGCAGAGTAGACGTCGACCATGACGGCATCGGGCGCCGCCACCTCGACCAGTCGGCGCGCGTCCACGTTGATCGCGACCTCGGATCCTTGCCTGCCGTTTGCATCTCGTTGCACCCGCGTGCGCCTAGCTGCGTGTGGCGTCCAGGACGACGTCGACGTCGGGCTCAGGGGCACGTCGGTGTGCGGTGCGGCGAGACCGTAGGTCTGCTCGACGACGCGCTCGAATGAATCGAACCTGCTCGCATCGGCTTCAAAGAGACCGTACAGCGCCGCTCCCACCATCGCCCGACGCGCTCGCGGCAGCGGCTTGGGCGTCTCGCTGGCCCTCTCGACGTCGTCCCGAGCCACGACGACGGAGCCGCCCACCACGTCGCGGACGACGCTCGCGACGCTTGGGTCGCCCGCCGCTTTGCCCCAGCCGTAGACGCGGCGCGGTTGCGGGCGCAGCGTCGCTGCTCTTCGACGAGTCCCGCCACGTTCATCGTCCGCAGCACCGGAAGCAGCAGCGGCGGCAGCAGCGGCGGAGGTGGCAATGTCTTCGAGGGCGGAGCGCATCGCCATGGCCTGGCCCTCGAGCACCACCCTCGGGTCGGCCCTGGTATCGCCAAACGCCGGCACCGCCTCTCCGGCCTCGAAGCGGTGCAGGCCACGACGCGGGCCGCGCGGCGCAAAGAGGGCGTAGCGCTTGTCGTCGAGCGACGGCGTGGCGCCAAAGGGCACGGCGTGGACCACCTTGGAAAACGTGCTCCACCGGCCGCTCGCCGACGTATCGCGCGCAATCTGGCGCGCCTCTGCCGCTCCCTCGAAGCGGACCACGGCCAGCCAGCGTCGCGACGGATCGACGGGGTCGGGCAGGAGCTGCGCCGGGGCGTCCAGGCTCGGGAGTGCCCGAGGGTCCGAGAGCGGTACGATCATCTCGTCGTGCGTCGAGGAGGTGCCGAGCCCGATATCGTTGTCTTGGGGCAAAAACGAGAGGAACGCCGCGACCGACGACGGTAGGCAAGGCGCCACGATGCAGCTCCGGTCGAAGCCGAAGCGCTGCTGCAGCCAGTGCGAGACAGTATTCTGCTGCTGCCGCTGTGCTGGAGAAACTGCGGCCGAGTCAATCGGTCCGAGCTTGGCAGCCAATTGGGGCACGAGCGTCTCGCCACCGATCGATGCAAGCCGATCTCCGGACCAGCGAGGTGGCTCGTGCTCGAGTTCGTCGATGGCGGCCAGGCCAGTTGCGGCCGCCACGCTCTTCGACATGCCAACCACGCGACCCGCCAGGAGCGACGCGACCAGGCCAGCGTCGGTCGTGGTGTGCGCTGTGCTCGCCGAGGGTGTCGTGTAGAGCGACGGCTGTATGGACGCGCCTCGACCGCACAGCCGCGCGATCCCTTCTGCGAAAGCGCCGGGTGGGTCCTTGCTGCCTTGCTGCTGCGACGACACGGTGGGGAATGCGGGCATCGCGCTGGCGACGCCATCGAGGGGCGCTCGATCGTTGGATGCCGCCGGGACGGTGTCGGACAAGGCGAAGGAAGGCGTGGCCAGCTGGCAAGGGAGCGACAGGCGGGGCGACAACCTCGCCAACATCTCGTTTGCCTCGACCGTGAGGCAGAGGGGCATGTCGATCTGATCGCGTCGACAGGTGCAGCGACGCAGGCACTCGTCAGTCGCGCAAGACCCGATGGCCACACGTCGATACACCGCCGCGGCTGGATCAGACTGGACTCACTGCACCACAGCAGCCGATGGCACGGACGCGCGAGAGGTCGATGCGGCCGTCGCCCGCGCATCGTTCGAGGAGGATGTCGAGGGCATGGATCAACCTGCTCGCCCTGCACGCTCGGGCCCTGTCACGTCGACGCCCAGCAGACACGGTGCGGAGTCAGCTTCAACCTCTTTCATGTCTCCAGCGGCCATACGACGACGATTCCGGGACGGAGGGGTCAACGTACATGGCATCGAGATCCGTGTTGAAGACGACGTGGTGCACATAGAGGATCGCCAGGCGGTCCGAGGCGTCGAGCACGACGAGGCTGAGCCGATGTGCCTGGCTCTCAATACCGATTACGAGGTCCCGTCGCTGCTGGGCCGTCGGGTACGTCGAGCGCCATGCTGAGGGACGCTGCAGATGAGGGCCTTGATGGACGGGAGGGTCACGATGCATTGTATCGACGACCAACTTGCACAGAGGGCGAGGCGGCGAGTGGTCGGTACCTCCTGTTGGTGGCCCTGACCTCCCCTTATCAAGTCGCACGCAACGCCGGCCCTCATCACCTCGGTTGCCCAGGTACTGCCCAGACGGAACCCTCACCGCCTTCCGCTCTCGGCGCGGAACCCAGCTCGAGGACAAACGAAGACACCGGCCAGAATCGCAAATGAAGTGCGGACGCAGGCAGACGACGTCGGCAAGCCAGCAAACCAGCCAGCCAGCAAACCAGCCGGCTAGCAAGCCTGTACCGGGCTGTGTGACCTACGAGGAGCGCCACGCTGCTGCTGGGCGCCCAACCTTGTCGTCTGCGCAGTCCAACGCGCCCCGCATCGCCGGCCGAAGGAGCGGAATGGAGCTGAAGGCTCCCCTCCTCCGCCCTCCCCCACGTCGTCGACGCCTCCGGCCGCGCGGCGCCCCGACGAGCCGCGCAAGCTCTGCGCCGACACCGCACCCGTGCCGTTCCGAAGGTGGCGTGTGTCCAGCATGGGCCCGCACAAAACATCAAGCTCGACCGCGTGGTACCGAGCAGCGACCCGACCGTCACACGACCGTGACACGGCCCGTGGCGCTGCAACCTTGTTCCAAGGTCAGCGTGGCGATGGTACTGTGGTGCAGAAGGCCCGGTTTTCGTTCCGCGAAGCCCGGCAGTCCCGGTATCATTGGCCGGCGAGGCTGGTGGCGTCGGTCAATTCGGCCTCTTTGCGCTTAAGATGGGGCGTCGTGAGGGTGACAGGATCATTATCGCATTCGTCCCGCTCGCTCCTCGACCAGATAGTGGCCCGGACGTCTCTCCGGCCTTGAAAAACTGCGCGTTCCGAACTAGGCGGTGCCTCCGCCTCCGCTTCCGCTCGTGCCCTCGGTCGATGTCGCAGATCCGCCGTCCTTCTCCACCTCCTTTGCGACAATGTCGTCGGCGATGCGCTTGATGTCCTCGGCGCTCTGCTCCTTTGTCTTTCCGCCCGCCGCTTCCGCCTTGCTGCCGCTGCTGCTGTCGGAGAGAGAGGCGGCGCTGGGCCGCTGCAGCGCCTGCGCCTCCTCCATCAGCTTGGATCCGATGCCGACCTCGTGATACCTGGGGGTGGACGGTCGGTGCGGAGGGGAAGAACGGTACGGTCAGCCATTCCACTCGAGGATCAACTCTGCTCCCTGCTGAGACCGGCTCGGAGCGCCGGGGGGCCGACGGAACGCACCTCATGAGCTCCGCCTTCATGCCGACACCGGGGAGCGCGTGGATGCGCAGAAAGTGGAGCCACCGGTCGACGACCTCGTCGTTGGCGTCAAACACCTTGATGGCGCGGCTGTGCGTCTTGCGCCAGAAGTTCTCCTGGCTCTTTTTGTGCACAAAGGGGCTTCTCGGCACCGTCCAGAGGGCGGTGCGGACGGGCAGGTGGGCGGTGCCCGACACGGGGATGCCGAGCGAGAAGGCGGCCTTGCGTGCAAAGTCGCAAAGGAGGTCGAGGTTCTGCAGCGAGTCGCCGTAGCAGCGGAGGTGGAGTGTGGCGACGTGGATGCCGTGCGTCTTTGGTTGGGTCTCGGTGGGCAGTAGGCACGAGGGGATCTCAAACTCGGGCTCGGGCTTCTGCCCGGTCGCGGTCGAGGCAGAGACAGCATCAGTGGCGGCGGCAGACGAAGAAGACGAGGGCTGGCCGCTTCCCCGAAGCGTAGAACCGAGCGATTGCTCCTTCCTTAGCTGGTTGAGCGTCGCGGCCTCGGCGGGTGCAGCGGCTCGGGACGAAGATCTAAGAGATGGCGGTGCAAGGTGCGGAGGCGCATGTAGTGTTTGGTCAGCGTCAGGACTGATCTATGCTGCTCTGCATGAGGAGGAGGTGCGCTGGCGGTACTCACGCCAACGTCCGCGCCGCTTGGTAGATGACCCGGCTCGACGAAGAAGCCGAAGCGCCCGAGATGAGTGCCGAAGACGATGGCTTTGCGGCGGCGGCCTGCAGCGCGAGCTTCGAGCACCTGAAAGCCATGCCTTGTATCGAGGTCGGGACGTGTACGGTGGAGAGGGTAGGGAGGTGATGACGGTGTTCTGGTTGGGATCCGGGGCGCACGGTAGGCTAAGGTGGAGATGGTGGTGAACGAGCACGGAGCGAGAGGGCGGCAGTTGCGGCCAGAAAAAAGACGGCACCGCGGCAGGCGACTCAGGCCAGGCGGGCAGCGGGACCCTCGAGTTCTTCCCGCATTTTGATCGCGCCACCGGCACTCGCACGAGAAAGCGCACCCAAAGGCGGCGCCGCGACCTCTACGTCGCAACATGTTCAGACGGTTCTCACGCCACACGACGAGCAGCAGGATATGATGGCTGGGGGTTTTGGGGCAGCAGCACATGGCTACGCTCGAAAGGGTATCTTGCCAGGTACACGGCGGGGCGAGCGCAAGCTAGAAGGGATGACGACGTGCGAGCAGGATCGGGTAGACGGGCCAGCAGCGGTGGGGGGGTCAGGGAGTGTGGATGCACCAGGCTGGATGGGGCCAGAGCGGCGGCGAATGCGAGGAGAGGCCGTGGTACCGTGGGCATGGGCATGCTGGGGAGGAGGCCTTGAGCACGAGAGACGAAACCGGGATGGGGTGGACGGAGCGATGCAGGGGCCAAGGACGAAGACGAGGAAAGGGACGAGGCGAGGAGCGGAGCAACGGTCGCAGCGCACGATGCTGCCGCTGCTGGACAACTAGCCTTCAGATCAGGCTGAGCTCGAGCGTCCACACCCGCCTTGCCCACACCCGCACCTTCCGCCCAGTGCCGTTCTTGAGCATCTCGACCTCCTCTGGCGTCATGCCAGCGTCGGGCTCGGCGCTGGTGGCGTCAGCGACGGTGCTCAGTCCCACCGAGACCGCCGTCGAGGCAGCGTCGTTGGAGTCGGCCGCCGCCGGGTTGGGCTTCTGGTCGGGATGCGGCAGGACAATGTCGACGCCATCCCACCAGCATTTCCGCTGCGGGCCATGTCAATCCAGGCATCGGGGCGGATAGAGACAGGGAGGCAAAGGTCAGCGACCGTGGGGCCAACGGTAGCGAGCATAGCGCGAAAGCAGTGGCGAAGGAAACAGATGGCTCGGCTCGCCGACGACTCACCGCAGGTTTCCTCCAGAAGAGCAGCAGCTTCTGCGCCGTGGCCAGCTGCTGGTGGTCGACCTTCATGCCCTGGAACATGCTGGTCTGGCCCGTCTCGTCGTAGTAGTCGTTGGCCTCGGCCGAGTCGGGACGGATGCCCTGGGCCTCGAGCTCGCCGGCGTGGGCGATGCCCGTCTTGAGCAGCACGAGGGCGATTGAGGTGATGCAGCAGCGCGAGGGCTCGAGGGCACGGAAGCCCCAGGTGTCGTTGCGGTCAAAGCCGCTCATGCAGAGCATGTCGATGAGGTGCTGCTCGGCGAGGTTGTTTTCCTTGTTGACGTTGCGCTGGAGCGCGGTAAAGATCTGCTTGCGGTCAAGCAGCGCGCGGCCGCATGACTGCTTGAGCGAGAGGAGCGCCGGCGTCGGATGCCCAGACTCGGGGTTGGTCGTCTCGAGCTTGGAAATGTCGATGTCGCTCTCGGTCGCCAGCCGGTCGCCAGAGGGCTGGGTCAGCTTGCCGCCGGGGCCCGAAGCGGCCGTCCTGGGCCTCTTTGGCGGGATGGCAAAGTACTCGAGCTCCTCTCGCAGGACAATGATGGCCTGCTTGTTGAGGAGCGGGTTCTGACCCATGCCCGGCCCCCCACCATAGAGGCCGTTGGGGTCGGAGAAGTCGGCCGAGGACTGCTGGTAGTGGTGCGCGCCACCGTTGCCGCCGAAGGCCGAGGGGCGGAACTTGCCCGGCTGGTCATCGATGCCGTAGAAGTCGTCCTGTGCCGTCTTGAAGAAGCTGAGGACGTAGGAGAGGCACTGGGGGTCGAAGTCGACGAGGTAGACCTCCTCGTCGTCGTCGGCGTCGTCGTTTCCGTCGTCGTCAAAGGACTGTGGCTGCTTTGGCTGGCGCGCAAGGACGAGGCCGTTTGGGAAGAGGCAGAGGAGCACCGACTCGGGGAGGTTCATGAGGGTGTCGCGCTCGATGGTGAAGCGGGTGCCGCGGAGGTCGAGGGTGAGCTGGGTGAGCTGCTGGCCCGGGTCCGAGGCGGTGGCATCGAGGGTGTCGTCGGACATCATCTTGGCGTTGGCGGTGGCGGCGGCGGTGGTGGTGAGTCCCGGAGGCGGGTCAAAGGCGCAAGGGGTGTGCCGAGGATGCGCGCCCAAGGCTGGGTAAGCGGTGCGGTGCGATGTGAGCGGGAGTGCAGAGGATGAGCGTCAAGGTAGCAGCAGTGTAGTAGGAGCGAGGATGGATGAAGAGGGCAGTGTCAGTGTACCGAGGCAAGACGGGATGCTCCAAGACGATGGAGGGTAGAGTCGGGGTGTGGGGCCAGCGAGCAGCGAACGCCGCGGCGGCTGCGCGGGGAGCCAGGCAGGCAGACAGCCATGGCAGGCGAGGTGCGGCGGGTGTTGATGCCCGCCAGGCCAGTGCGGCTGATGCCTCGGCCATGTCTCTCGCGCGACAAAGTCTCGTCCCGCAGGCGTACGTGTGGAGCAGCTAGCCAGCCTGGCACTCTCAGGGTCGGCCAGAGGTCTGGCTGCCACGCCACGACGCACAGGACACCCCAAACCGAGCCGCGGGGGCAACAGCTCAAAAGTTGAAACAAGCTGGCGCCCAGACTTACTCACCACCACCGCCGTCACTCACCACTACCCGCCCACCGCCAAAGCAGAAGCCACCAACCAGCCAACCACGTTCATCGAGGCAGCCAGTCGCACCATCGCCACGTTAAGCTCGCACACCCTCTCGCAGTCCACTTTGCACCCCCGCGCGCCATGGTCCGCTCAACCCAGATCGCAAGGGTCTCGGACGGCCTGCCGCTCGCCCAGAGCGTCGACGACAGCCAGACCGAAAGCGACCTCTCCGAGTACAAGCAGCAGGCCAAGCTCATCTTTCGCAGAATCACGCCCGCATCCGAGCAGCGCTGCAGCATCGAGAGCGGCAAGTTCACCTTGCAGTGAGTAGCGCCCCGGCCGCCGAGGCTCGTCCCGTCGCCATCTTGCTTGTCGCTGACCCCTTCGGCCCGGTCATCGTCGTCGTCGTCCTCCTCGTGATGCTCGGCCGACATCGCCCGCAGCTACCTGATCTCGCCACCACCAGCGATGCCCAACTCGGTCGTCTACCTCACCATCGCAGACCGTTCCTACCCGCGCAAGCTCGCCTTTTCCTACCTCGACGAGCTCTCCAAGGAGTTTGAGCGCAGCTACGGCAGCCAGGTCGAGCAGCGCAGCTTGAGGCCATACGCCTTTGTCGGCTTCGGTGAGTCAGATGCGGCGTCGCGACGACCGAGGCGGCCCTCGCTCGATGTGTGCCCCTCGCCGCCGACTGACTCGACCCGCCTCGCGCCCGTCTCCCACGACAGACACCTTCATGCAGCGGACCAAGCGGCTGTACGAGGACTCGAGGACCGCGCAGTCGGCGGCATCTTCCAACCTCGACCAGCTCAACGAGGACCTGCAGGACGTGACGCGGATCATGACCAAGAACATGGAGGACCTCCTCTGGCGCGGCGACAGCCTAGATCGTGAGTGCCTGCCCTCGTGCCCCCTCCCACCGAGGTCCGACGGATGGCTGCGCTCGTCCCACTCACCCGTCTGTCCCCACAATCTGACACCGTCGCCGTCGTGCAGAGATGTCACACATGTCGTCGTCGCTGCGGGACGAATCGCTCAAGTACCGAAAAGCGGCGAGGCAGATCAACCTCAACGCACTCTACCGGAAGTGGGCGCCGTGAGTCGGAGGCGTGCAGGCTTGCGTGCCCTGTTCATCCCCGATCGCACCAACTGATCCCCTTTTCCCCTTTTTGCTTGTTGTGCTCTTGCCGCCCGCCTCCAGAGTCGGCGCCATGGGCTTCATCTTCCTCTTTATCCTTTGGGTCAAGTTCTTCTGAGCCGGTCGGCAAGGCGCTCCAGCGATTGGCGGCGTCCGCCCCGCGCCTCTAAAATACCATGCTTTTTGTCGATGCCATGCCCGCAGTGGTGGTGTGTCGCGGCTGCCGTGCGTCTGTACTCGACTGGGCTCTGCAGCCGCTCCCGTGGTCGGTGCGGGCATGCGTGCGCGTGGGTCAGACGCCCAAAGCGCCCCAGACGAACAGATCTAGACGCTCGAGCAGGTCCGCAGACGATGGAGAGCGGGCTGACCGCGCCGCGCGCCTGGCGCCATCGAGCCAAATCGAGCCTCGAATGCCGGCTGTTGGGGTTGCGGCAGGGATGATGACGGCGGATGGCGTGGTGAAGGGCGATGGGCGAACAAAGCTGCCACCTCTTCGAGCGTCTGTCTCCCGACGTTGGACGATGGTGGTAGGTAGGTTGCCTGTGTGGAGATGGATGATGGGCTGGTCCGAGGTGGCACAAAGCCAAGATCCAGATGTCAATCCCCAAGACGGCCGAGACAGTCAACACCAGCCTGTCCGTCAGATGCCGAATAGCGAAATCACCTGGTCAGCCCTGGCTCCGACTCTGACCCCCCGGCTCCGGCTCTGGCTCCGGCTCTGGCTCTGGCTCTGGCTCTGACTCTGACTCTGGTCTGGTCTGAGATCGAGTGCCGATTCAGATTGATCAGACGGTGCGCGGCGATTGCAACAAAGCGGGGCAAGCAAGGTGCATCCTGGCGCAGTCATTGTCCTCTGTAGCGGCGTCGGTGGTGGCGCAGTCGAAGAAGAGTGTGGCATGGATGCGAGGAAGCGCAAGCAAAAAGCAAGGGCTCGAACAAATACGCAACACGGAAGAGCAGCCCGCAGATGTACTGGTAGTTGAGTCGGTGCAGACCTGCCTGCCCTGCCCATCAAGCTATAGTAGTAAGAGTAGAAGGCAGGATATGTAGGATCCGCGGCGCTTGCCTCGCCTCGACGTGCCTAATTCTCGCGACCTCCTTGCATTGCGCTTCGACTCGCTAGTAACAGGTAGGGTAATCAGTCGGCAGGGGGAAAGAGTCTCGTATCGTAGAGTAGCGAACTTCGACCTGCCTACTTGTACTGTACCTACTGTATCCGGTCCTCACGGGTCCTTTGGGAGGCCCGACTTCTTGGGCCCGCGGGTACTTTCTTCCTTCCGACGAGACAATAAAGAGAAGGAGACGATGCCGGTTTGGCTGGAGGTGCTTAACCTATGGTGTTGCCGCGGCAGAAGAGGTCAGGTACCGGTACCGGGATTGTACTGTGTACAGGAGCGTGGCGATGTCGTGGTCCATGTCGAGAGCGCACGGAAGAGGTCGAGGCTGTCGCTGTCGGCCAAACAGGCAGGGAGCACTCACTCCCTCTGCCCGACAAAGGTCCGAAGGTCCCCCCTCGATAGCAGGCTGGGATCTGAGCAGGCAGGCCAGGCCGGGCAAGACCTGACTGGACGTCGGTACTCTGATGCTCTGCCGTCCTTTGCCACCACCCTGGCCCTGGCTCGACGGCCAAATAGATCCGGTCGTCGAGACCACACTGGCCAGCGATGGCCACCTCGAGGATGACGACCGAGGTGGTCCGTGGGAAAGGAACGAGGTTGCGAAGATCCTCGGACCCTCGCCTCGCCCCTCACCCTCGCCCTCGCCTCTCGCTTCGCTTGGACCGTCGTGTATGTCTCGTTTCATTTCGTCTCGACGCGATCGACTTGAGCAGAAAGAGCGCGAATTCCGCCCGCAGCCTGTCTGCCGTCCGAGACCGTCTCGCGGGGCCGGGCGGGCGACGCACACGGCGAAGCTCGGAAGGAGGTCGGCGTGGCATGAAGCTACCCGGCCACCATCGCGTCGTATCGCGCATCCTGGGACCGCCTGGGACCGCCTGGTTACTCCGGCTAGTACGTACGTACTGGGCGCACACGGAAGACAGGTCGACGATGGTGGCGGGCATCTGCGCGAGCACATGTTGGCGTCTCTGGACATGTGGGCGCGTGATGCGCGCGGGCGTGCGGTGCACACACGGGGTCGCTGCGCCGTACAAAGGGCGGGAACACAGAGAGAGAGGAGCTGGTATCTATGAGGCGGGCACGCGCTCCTTGGCCCTCGAAGGCCATCTACAGCCACGGATAGGTAGCGGCAGCTGTTGGACGGTGGAATTGTCCTGTCAGACGCTTGCCTCTTCCCGCGTCACCGATTGGATCCTCTTCGGCGGCAAGAAGGTTTCAAGGCAGTCCAAGCCAGGGCAAGGTCGTTAGCATGAGTCGAACGCCACACGGCTTTACGTACGGGGTCGATAGGGGGTATCCGTGGAGCCCGAGGTTCAGGCTAGCTTCGGGGGCCACCGGGGACCAGTAGGCGTATAGGTACGGTACCTAGCTCGCGGAGCGTGCGACCGCGAGGGCGGGCGATTGAGACCTCTAGGCTGAGATAGACGGGTGGGGACGAATCGGTCGAGGGAGGTTGTTTGATGCGGGATATGACGGTAGCAAGCTCGTCGGTCGGTCGGCCGAGTCGTACGACGTCCGCGGGCGTGTCCTAGCCGCTTGCCTTGGCGAACGCAACGTACCTCAACGGCGGCCAGGATCGGCGAATGGTACGCGCGGTGGTCACGGCGGGCGGGTGACAGCGCCAGCTGATGGACGTGCAGCAGCATGCCGGTCCGCGGTGCGGTTGCCTGAAGATGGCGGTGGGTTGTCAAAAAGGCAGGCGTCGGTAGAAGGTTGGGGATGGGAGGTGCAGCATCGCGTAGGGTAGGGTGGGAAGCTCAAGGCATCGGCGCCTCGCTACCGGTAGCCTCGGCGGGTGTGGTACAGATAGTGGTTCGGTATAGGTACACTTGGCGGTAGACGACCGTACCGTGCGTTGGCGTCTGAGGGCGAGGGGCTACGCCTTGTAGGGCTACGTTGGGCGGTTTAGGGGGTACCCCCACCTGGCGTGCCTCGTGGGGTTGGAGCTACCTACCCTGTCCATATGCGGCAGGACGAGGGGCGAACGGAGGCATCCTAGCCTCTGCGGCGCAGGCTTCGGTGTGGCTTTTGCTTGCTTCTGCTTCGCTGGGGGGCTTTTGCTTGCTTGCTTGGTTTGCCCGCCTGCTGCTGCTGCTTGTTTGCTCGCACGCTACTGCAACGGCGCAGGCGGGCGGACGGCTACTCGGCTACGCCCGCGCTTCTTTGGACGCTCAGACTACATAGGCGTACGGAGCAGCGCCAGACCCACCAGCAGCACCATGCGATGCAGCTTGCTCGCAGCACACCTCGACACGTATGTACGCTGGACAAGGTCATGCTATGGCCATCATGCCCATGGTGTGGGCGTGCGTAGTGTAGTCACAGGCAGGCAGTCGGGACCCAAGAGGCGAGGCGAGGCGAGGCGAGCCAAAGCCAGCCCTGGCCAGGCGAGGTGCCAGCATCCAACCACTTCGGCACGACGGGCGGGCGAGCTCACAGCTATGTAGTACCGCTATACCACCTCTGCTCTCGTCGGTGGCAATGTCGACCGATCTTGACCTGCCTACCTGCCTGGTTAGGGGTCAGGACAGCCCGCAGGCAGACAGCTTGTCTGGCTCGCCCGCGTGTATGCTGGCCTCTACCTAACGCGGCCTCTCAATGCAACGCCGTCGAGGCCTGCCGTCGACCACGACCAGGTCGGCGGCAAAGGCCAGCCGACGTGTCTTGGGGCCGCCGAGTTAGACGAGGCCCAGATTCTAAGACTGCCTGCCGCCTCGACATCTTCCACCCTGCCCCTCCCAACATCGCCGATAGTCTGCAGCGACGTACGTGCGCTTGGCTAACCCTCGTGAGCCTGTCCCTCCTCTCGTTTCCTTCTTCCCTCGCCCATTTCGTACCTCGTCCAACGTCCTCGCCCACATAGATGACCCGGTTAGAGTGAGGTCGGCAGCACAAGAGGAGCACGAGCACGAGCACGAGCAAGAGCGAGAGCAAGAGCGAGAGCAAGAGCGAGAGCCTCTCGTGTAGCCGTGGCAGGCCTGGCAGGGGGGGCAGGGCGCGAGCACGACAACCTCCGCAGCGTAACCCAACGTCTTCGCCCTCTTCTGCGCCCCGCCTCTTTGCCGGCACCCGCAGGACGGGTACATATATCCACGTCGAATCCCCGCAACGGGGAGCTCATGTCGGTGTCGTCTCCCTCCCCGCGCCCTCCCCGCCGCTCCTTCTCGAATTCCTTCTTGGCTTCCTGTCGTCGTCCCCGCGACCGCAGCGCCTACCAGCCCCTCTTCGCTGGCCGTCGTCGATCCCAAGAAGGAGGTTCATCCTCTTTGGCCTGCCTCTCCCCCTCTCCTCCTCTCCTCCTCTCCTCCTCTTCTCCGTCCTCCTCTTCGTCACCACCCATTCTACATACCCCGCCGAGCCGCTCTCGGGCGGCCACAACGACCGCCGCGCGCCATGTCGTACAGGGCGCTCCACGAGCGCTTCGACCTGCCGGCGCCACCGCCGCGCAGCGAGTGGTCCATCAACCGCCCGCTCGAGTCGGACCGCGCCTGGCTGCCCGCCTCGCTCCTCGATTCCTCGGCTCCCGTGGCGGACCTGGACGCCTTTCTCAACAACCTCTTCCACCCGCACCTCGGCCGCTCCGTCTACATCCAGTGCAAGGTCCTCTCGGCCATCCTCGCCTGCCTCGTCCTCGTCCTTACCCTCATCATCGCACGCCGCTTCCACGACCGCGCCCTGTGGCTCTTTCGCCTCTCGCAGCGCTCCAACGGCAACCTCGTCGTGCCCAACTCAATCACCAACCTCTGCGTCATCCTCCTCTTCTACGCATGCATCCTCATCGCTTTGTGAGTTCCGCGCGGGGCGCAGGGACCTTCTCGGATTAGGTCCGAGGCAGGCAGGCAGGCAGGCAGGCAGGCAGGCGAGCTGACTCGGTGCAAACCTGCTGGTTGCGTGCCCTTGAAACCCTTCCTCACCTCGCCGCGCAGCGACTGGATGTGCGTCGGCTGGGGCGAGAACAAGGTGGCGCCCGACCACCTCTTCCTCTGGACCACGCTCATCTGGACCCCGCTGGCGCTCGGAGCCTACCTGGCCATGCTCGGCGTGGCCATGGCGCGGCCCGACGCCCTCAAGTCCATCTCGCCACAGTACAACCGGCCGCCGTCGATGGCGCTGCGCCTCGGCATCACGCCGCGCGTCGTCAATCTCGCCTTTCTCGCCGCGCCCCTTGCCCACCTCGCCGCCATCGCCGTGCCCATCTACCTGAGCGACCGGCACTGGCAGCACGCCCTCGGCCTCTACCGCGCCTGGAGCCAGCACTACGTCACGGCCGGCACTGCCGGCTCGCTGGACCGCGAGACGCTCGTCGAGGCGCAGCGGATCTGGTACGAGGTGCTCGAGTCGTGCAAGTGGGTCTGCGTCGCCTACTCGATCTGGAGCGTGACGGGCTTCGTGCTGGGCGTCGCCGAGCTCCTCGCCGGAGGCTCGCTCGCGCTCCTGGTGCGCAGGCAGATCAAGACGCTCAACAGCTTCAACCAGACGCACTCGTTTAGCGAGTCGTTTGCCGCCCAGCAGCGCGGACGCCAGCTCGAACAGCAGGTCATGCAGGCCGTCCGCGATGGTGCGGCCGCCGTCGACGGCACCGACGGCGGTATGGTTGCCACCGCCGCCCTCACTGACAAGTCCACCGCCCCATCGTCGGTCGGCGGTCGAAGACAGCGCGTCGGTAGCTCGACGCCGGCGTCGACTTCGATCTGGACGCTGCATCGGCGCTGGTTCAAGCCGTCGTCGGCGTCGAGCGTGCACGACACCGATTCCGAAGACCTGAGCGACCAGATGGCGTCGCAGTACTTTACCACGGCGCAGCTCGAGGCGCGCGACACGCCGGCGCCCACCTTTTTCCCCGCCGTCAAGCCGAGCACCTTCCGCCGCCCTCCGCGCGCCACGGCCCACAGCGGTCGCCGTGCCCAGCGGCGGTACCTGCAGGGCTTCTTTGCCGACATCATGGTCCAGTTTATCGGCATCACGATCGGGTGCGCCGTCTACGCCGGGTTGGGCGTGGCCATGGCGATGCAGTGGTACGCGGCGTGGGAGGGCAACAATGGCCAGTTTGTCCTCTCCCAGGGCGTGCTGTGGAGCAGCTACGGCGCCGTCGTGTGCGGCGGCGGCATCTTTAGCTGCATCTTTAGCCGCACCTACGAGCCCGTGCTGAGCAGCATGGCCGCCAACGGCACCGGCGTGCTGCGCCCGCGCATCCGCACCACGACCCAGAGCGGCAACGCGCTCGACGGCGGTAGCAGCCACGGCGGCCTCGATAGCGCCCTAGACGTCGGTGGCGAGGGCGTATCGCAGCAGCAGCCGCCGTCGGCGCGGAAGACGACGCTGGCCTGGGCCGCTTCCGCCTTCCAGCGGCACCACAACAATGCGCCCGAAATGAAGCAGGGCAGCCGCGGTGGGATCCTCGCGATGCGTCCCGTCGGGCCCGCAGCAGCAACAGCGGCGGCGGGGGGTGGCATGTCCAAGCAGGACGAGGTTGACGGGTCGTCGGAGACCGATTCCGTCCTCGACGATCCCTTCCTGAGCGCGCGCCGCACCTTCCGGCGTCCGAGCAACCGCACCCTGGCATCCGATACCGACATGGGCGACGGCGACGGCGACTACTACGACGAGAAGCTGCTCGACACGCAGCACCACCTTCGTTCCAACATGGACCGACGCGGCGGATCAAAGAACCAAGACGCCGCCCCCGCTGCCCTCGATGCCGATGGCGCTGCTACGGCTGCTCCTGGGCGAGGGATGCGCGGGGTGACGATTGAGGAGACGGTGACGAGGCGGTACGAGCGCACCGACACGGATCCCGTCATGGGTGCCATTGAAGTCTTCCATCGCGCGGAACACGACGACGAAGACTACGGCGGTGCCGGCCTGGGGTCGCCATCGGATGCGGCCACCTTGACGCCCTCGACTCCGTGGACGCCGTGGACGCCCGATACGCCCTTTACGCCTGGCTCGACAAGCCACCTCCTCGGCAGCGGTAAGGGGGGCGGATGCAAATCCATCGCGAGCAACCTCCAAGTCAACCGGAGCGTCAGCAGTCTGACCTCGGTCGTCGATCCGGCCATTGCCCTGCCCGTCGCACCCGCCGTGGCCATCACCGCGCCCGAGCCACCCCGCGACGCCGACCCTCGTCGCATCGTCCCAGCCGGCATCGGCAGCGGCGGCAACGGCGGCGGTGGCGGGGAGCTGGTCGGACTGGGCATCGACGAGTTGCAGCAGCACCAGCAGCAGAGTTGGACCCCGCCCGTGGCGTGGGAGAGCCCCGAAGTGGATCCGCACCTCGTCGCCGAACAGGCCAGTCGGCAGGTGCGCGCCCGGGCCCAGCGCAGCCAGTCGTACAAGCGCGACCCGCCCGGCGCTCCCGGTCCGCATGCCCGATGAGACGAGGCGAGATGAGACGAGATGAGATACCCCCCCTCGCTGCCTTTGATATACCCCCACTTGGCCCCCCGCTCCCCCTCGTCACCCTCCCTTGTCCTCACCCTTCCTTGCCCGGCCGGAATGAAAGAAGCGAAGGGAGAGAAGAGAAAGAACAAGAAACAAAAGGGTCGCGGATCGTCATTCAGCGACCTAGATGCCCACACCGAGGCCGAGAGGCCCAATGTATTACCTTACTTGCCCTGACCCCTACCTCATCACACTGGCCACCGCCGTCGTCGTCGTCGTCGTCGTCGTCGAGTGTCCAACAAAAGAAATCGATGCCGTCACCAGGCGACGGCCCCTTCCTCGATGACGTGGTACCGTAGTACTGAGCAGAGCAGAGCAGAGCATGCCACCCAATCACTGGATGAGGCCAAGAGCTCGGAGCTGCTCGAGCGTAACCGCCGATAACTGCTGCTGCTGCTGCTGTGGAGGCTGTGATGAGCCCTGATCGATCCCAGCGCTGCTACCGCCTCCGGTGCCGCCGCCGAGCAGTGCAGCGCCCTGCGCTCCTAGACCCAGGAGCTGCGCCAGACCGGCCAAGTCGGCCGATGGCAAGCCGCCGTTCGTCGATGCCACACCTAGCTGCGCCGGCGTCTGTTGAGGCTGCTGCTGCTGCTGCTGCTGTGGAGGAGGCGGTATTGGTGGCGGCTGCGGCTGCTGCAACGGCTGCTGTAATGGTGGTGGCGCCGCCTGCGGTGCGGACGGCGGTAACGCTTGCGGCTGTGGCTGTGGCTGTGGCTGTGGCTGTGGCTGCGTCTGCGTCTGCGTCTGCGACTGCGTCTGCGTCTGCTGCTGTGGCTGCGCCTGCAGTTGCGACTGCCGCTGCTGCTGCTGTTGTTGTTGCACCTGCTGCTGCTGCGTGGCCTGAGCAGCAAGTAGCCTCGCAAACGGCACGGGATCCTTGAACAGCACGCCGATCAGCTTGGGCGGCACGCTGCCCGGCGCCACATTCCTCTCTGCAGAGCTCGTCGGCTGCGTCGTGGCAAAGAGCACCAGCCCGGATCCGGCGCTGCTGCCGTGCCGGATAAACGCGCAGCTCTTTTTGGCATCCAGGCTGCCCGCCAGGCTGGCGTACATGGCCGCATTGCGGTCGGCCGGCACAGCGGCACCGCCGGCGTCGCCACCGGCCGACGGCGTACCGGGCGCCTCGGCCGCAAAGAGGACATAGGGCGCCCCCTGGCTCTGGGCGTAGATCTGCAGGTTGCGGGGAGCCAGCTGGCTGATGGCCGTGATTTGCAGCTTCTCCGGCCAGGGCAGCATCCTGTGCGGCGAAGATGTCGTGCAAAGACAAGATGCGAGAGGGTCAGGCAACCGCCCTTCGGATCAGCATTCTTCGCAACGGGCGCCTTTGTTGGCTCTTGCAGGCCGTCGCCTTGTCACTCACAGCTTTTCAAAGGCGTTGGCGTTGCTGGTGGCCGACACGTACGTCGAAATCTCCCTCTTTGCCTTGGTGACCGGGTCGCTGATGACGCTCCACGTGATGGGGCCCTTCCAAAAGGGGCGAGGCCGCGACGCTGCCTGTGCTGGCGCTGCTGCCGCGGCGCTACCCTGCTGTGCCGCGGCGGGCGCCGCTGGCGCGAGACGTGCGTT